GGACCTTGCCTGGGTCACAAGGTCACAGGAAGCTTAGCAGCCAGGAGACCCCGGCTGCTTTGTTAGAGAATCATGCTTGAACTGGAACCTGTGTGATTTCTGATAAGCTTAGATATGAATGTTTCCAGTCCCATCATCCTGCCCAACCTCAAAAAACATTTTTACCACTTGCTAGCAGCACTGGCATGTGGAGCTGGGGAGAAGCGTAGTACAAGCAATATCCTAAACCTCTAAACTTCTGGAGGGCCAAGACTTCATCTTTCCTCTTTGTATTTCTGTTGCCTAATGTGTAATAAATGCTCAGTGGAGGCTAACAGATGCCTGGAAGACTGTATGGAGACTCATTTGATAGCCATTAAGAATGATTCCCATTCCTAAAAACAGGCTCTTCGGTGATGTGGAGATCACACCTTGTCATTCCCTTCGTAGCACCAAGGTTTACGTGGGGCAGTTGTTACTGAATTGTAAAAATCAAAATTTGTGATCATTTGGTTTTGGCTCAGGAGAAAAAGGCAACTCCAGTGAGTACCCATAACCTTCCTGGATTCCCACCTTTTTTTTCCTTTTTTTACTTTTTGCCTTCCAGAATTTCTTAACATTCTTGCTACCTCATAGATTAAAAAAAAAAATTAAAAATATTTTGTATAGTCTGTTTACTTGTTTCAGTTGAAGGAGAACTTCTGGCACCCTCATGAGATAGGGGTTCTTTATTATTGTGAGCTTAGTGACCATATTTTGGTGGGGTGTGGGGGTGATATAGGAGAGATCCCTGTATTAGGAAGAAGGTTGGTATGTAGATAACCTTTTGGGTCTCTTTCAATTATAAAAACATATAGTTTTAGATAAAATAATCATTTTTTTGTTTCTCTAGAAATTTAACATTTTGAACTAGACCAATATTATTGAGTGACATTTAAATCTGCTTCCCCTAGGAATAGAATTTGTAAATATCTGTCAATTATTAGAAAACATTGAATTTACACTAGAAGTCATCTTAATCCACATTGTGGCTTTGAAAGCACGTTCTTAATCTGAAATCGTTGAACAAAATAGATTGGCACTTTAGTCCTCACTCCAGTGTAAACACCAATGAAATATTTGTAGATGGTTGGCATGCTTTGACAGATACTGCATTTCACAAGTAGAAATCAGTTCAGGTGCCCCAAGATTTAATTTTTTTTCTATCAAGGATTTAGTATAAAGTCACCTCTCTTCTTCTGCATCTGTCCAACTTTGTCTTCTTGTTCAGGATACAACTTTGTCATCTGATCTTTCTCTCTCATCCTAACTCTCAGTAAATGAGCTTTTGGATGAGCCCTCCTGCTTTAAGGACCTGTTGTTTCTGTCTTCATCAGCCTGAGTTCTCTTGGCTTTGAGAAGGGTATTTGAAAGAAAAAAATTTAGATTATTTAATAAAAAGTATGTTTGAAAAATGGAGCAGTCAGCTTTCCATTGACTAAGAACTCTCTTCATTTCTGCTCTTGAATAAACTATTTTATCTGTCCAAAAATACCTTCCCATTAAACAAAGCAGCTTCCCATAGCACTATCTCTAGACTCAAAGATGAATGGAGGAACTCAAAAATTTACGTGGAATATGGCCATGCACATGTGCATATATTTTCCTTAATTAGACTAGGGAAATGTCAGATATGGAGATGGTATTCAATATGCCTATGTTAGTGTGCATTAATGCTTTTTAAGTGTGAATTTAAGGCACTCCACAGAGCACTGAAAATTGTTACCTAGCAATAAGAGAAAGTATTTGAAAGCTCATGATTGCTTGGAACATATACCATCATGGCAGAGATATGATAGAGGTTCGTATAGAGACTTCAGGATTCTTTCCATGCACTGCAAGCATTTGCTCTCTGTTTATATGTTTCTCTGAATCTCTGGTCCAGTAAAAGAGGAGAATCAGGCCGGGCATCATGGCTCATCCCTGTAATCTTAGCATTCTGGGAGGCCGAGGCGAGTGGATCATTTGAGCTCAGGAGTTCAAGACCAGCCTGAGCAAGAATAAGACTTCATCTCTACTAAAAAAATAGAAACAAATTAGCTGGACAACTAAAAAAAAAATTATACACACACACACACACACACACACACACACACACACATATATATATAAATCAGCTGGGCATGGTGGCACATGCCTGATGCCTGTAGTCCCAGCTATTCGGGAGGCTGAGGCAGGAAGATCACTTGAGCCCAGGAGTTTGAGGTTGCTGTGAGCTAGGCTGATGCCACGGCACTCTAGCCTGGGCAACAGAGTGAAACTCTGTCTCAAAAAAAAAAAAAAAAGAATTAAAGAGGAGAATCAGAGGGAAGTTTCCCGTCTCAGTATAAGTGGTGGCCAGCCTTTTGGTGGGCCCACTCTATTGACTGTCTATTGGCTGTCCCAATCAATGGGTAGATTCCCAAGTGAGCCAAGCTTCTTAGATTAAAATGGTAGTTCTCAACATTTTTAGTTTCAGGACTCATTTAAAGGCTCTTAAAAATTACTGAGTCCCAATATCTTATGTATTAATTCATTTACAAATAATTACAAATAAATTTACAAATTTATGTACAATCATTATTTGTAATTTATTTACAAATAACAATAAACACATACTAACATCAGAGCAATGATATCAGATATCATGTAACATCTGGAAAATTTCACTGTATCATGAGAAAATGAGAATAGAAAAGGCAAATAACATCTTAGTATTATTATGAAAGTGATTTGACCTCACAGACCCCCTGAAAGGATCTTAAGGGAACATGTGACTCAAAATTCAGATCTACATAGAGAGATAGCCAGCCAGCCTGTAAATCTTCTTTTTTGATATTCAGATAGCTACTGGTTTTCCTGGGAAAAGTGTTCTTATAAGTAAAGTTTGAAGGTCATAGTTTTAAAAACAAAGCTGTGTGTGTGCCACATGTACTAATAAGAGACTATGGAGGCTACATACGGAATGCAGGTTTTATTCTCTTTGTACTTTGGCCATAAAAGCAGTTGATCAGCAGGAAAACCTGCTGGAGTTGGAAGCATCGTTGCACCCATGCCAGAGCTTGAGAACAGAATTGAGTAAGGGCACTCAGTTTTCGCAGACTAGAAGAAATCTGGCAGGTGAGTGATACATGCATCCACTGGAGCCTGCCTGCCCACGTCTCAGTCTGGAAGACAGGCAGGCAGCTGGAAGAGATCAGGACACTCCAGAATAATCCTCACATCAAACACAGACATACCATGTGAGGACTTCCAGTGAATGGGGAATTAGTTTTGTTTCAAATATCAATAAATCATGAATAGAAGGGTTATATAATTGTGGTATTAAACTAAACTGCTCTGTGGATATGCCTGTGACACTTTGGGAGTCAGTGTCAAGGATTCTAAGTTGGATGTTAAAACCCAAAGCTGAAATTAGCTATAAATAAAAAACTATTGAATATATAGCATACAAAAGTGGACAAATTAATAACATAGTTCAGAGTGATCTAATCAACGTGGAAGAGCTGTAATTAATTAATTATAATTCTGTTTCTGACAAGTGATTTGGAAATAAGGAGGAGGATGGTCTTTCCTCTTCCCTGCTGTTTTTATACCCTCAAATAATTTTGAGAAATAGTTTCTCCTTTCCCATAGTACAGGTTCTGAATATCTCGATGTGTTCAATATTAATTTAAAAGTTAATTCTAATTCCCAGAAATCTTGAAAGCTAAAATAATGTTGGCATTTACAAGATCCTAGGTTTCAAGGCTATATGTGTTGTAATACCAAATGCTTAGTTTTCCTATTTTTTTATGGCCTACCAGCCCACAAGATACAGAATGATGTCCCTTACTGTTTTATGCAGTTGTACCCAGCTGGTTGTTTCCTAACTCTGTAGTTGTTAGGCAGCAAAACACTCATCATCCATTACTAATGCTGCTGAATTATTCAGAGAACTCCTTAACCAAAATAAATGGTGGTTATGACCATCCAGTTTCCCCTCCTCCTCACTTTCCCATCCCTTTTCCCTATGGGCACATATTCCAGACTTTCAAGCTCCCCACTCCCCAAACTGTTAAAACATAACAGGAAAGTCAAATACCCAAATAATTTTGTTGGACTTGGGCTTAAAATCAGTGATTAGCTTGGAGTTGGGGTACTTACTGTAAAGAAGGAGATATGGTTATGGTTTGTATTTGGCTGTTTAATAAAGCTATCTGTGATCATGCAGAGGTATTTTAAGGACCCTATTGCAGCAGGATCCACCTTCTTATTTCTTTGTCCTAGGGCTTTTCACAGGAGTCTTGAGGTAGGTGTTTGTGTTCAGTGTCAACACCAAGCTGCTTCCTTCTTTATGAAGTTTCTTTTTCTTTTTTTAATTTGTTTTTTATTACTTTATAAGTTTTTTTATAATTTTTTTTACTTTTAGTAGAGATGGAGTCTCGCTCTTGCTCAGGCTGGTCTCTAACTCCTAATCTCAAACGATCCTCCCACCTTGGCCTTCCAGAATGCTAGGATTATAGGCCTGAGCCACCACACCAGGCCCTTTACAAAGTTTCTACAAGGACTCTGACTCTCCTGGGAACTGTTGCCATGACCACCACCTCACCCCATCTAGAATTCTCTCCCTCAGATACTTCCAGTCCCGACAGTCCTCCTCTATTTTCTCCTCACACAGTTGCAGAACTTTCCAACCTCACCTTTCTCAGCCACTTTTATCTCTCTCATATATCTATCCTCTGTTAACTCTAGAAGACAGAAATAAGAAATGATTAAAAGAGAGTGCGACCACAGATGCAGGGAAATTAGTTGGGAGACTCACTTTTCATTATAAGTGCATCTGAGTGGTTAGACTTTTTAACTATATGTTTATGCTACTTTGATAAAAATGAATCAATTTGTCATTCTTGATAACTCTAGAATGGCCCTATGAGGTAATTACTATGACCGTGTTATTCCCCTATGAACCAAGGTGAGCTAATTAAACCCTTTGGATTTGCCCTCCCTTCTTCTGCCCACAGCAGTCTGAGCTTTCAGCTGAAGAAAGTCCAGAAAAATTAGGAACCTCCCAACTACATCACCGGAAAGTTACTTCCTTAAACAAGCAGATTATGCAGAAGACCAAACATCTTGAAGAGGTTGGTGTTTTCTTTTTATAATTTTATTCGGGATCTCTGTGATAGATTGGGCAAAGGAGACTCCAGAGCAGCCCTCAGGCCAATCCAGCTGCCACCTGTCTTTGTAAATAAAATTTTATTAGAATGTATGCACACCCATTTTTTAACATAGTTTTAAGGGGTACAAGTTGAACTCTATTACATGTATATATTGTATAGTGGCGGAGTCTGGGTTTTTGGCGTACCCAGCACATGAGTAGTGTACACTGTACCTCATAGGTAATTTTTTATCTCTCACCTCCTCCAAATTTCCCCCTCTTTGTGTCTCCAGTGTCCATTATACCACTCTGTGTGCCCTTAAGTAGCCATAGTTTATCTCCTACTTATAGTGAGAACATGCAGCATTTATTTTTTCATTCCTGAGTTACTTCACTTGGGATAATTGCCTCCAGTTCCTGCCAAGTTACTACAAAAGCCATTATTTCATTCTTCTTTATGGCTGAGCTGAGTAGTACTCCATAGTGGGGGGGTGTGTATGTGTGTGTGTAGCATTTTCTTTATCTTAGGTTGATTCCACATCTTTGCAGTTGTGAATTGCACTGTGATAAACATATATTAGTTACAATAAACATATATTAGTACAATTAATACATGTAATTAGTACTATTATCTTTTTGGTATATTGATTTCTTTACCTCTGCGTAAATATCCAGTAATAGGATTGCAGGATCAAATGATAGATCTATTTGTTCTTTGAGAAATCTCCATAGAGGTTGTTTTTTTCTCTTAGTGTTGAAATCCTGAATCCTTTCTTCTATCTGGCATTATTTGCCAGCCAGTCATATTCTATGCTAGAATCTTGAGTGCTGAAATGTAGTTTATATTCTGCAAACAGGCAGGTTGGTTAACTGAATTGATTGTAGCCATACAGTAAAGTCAGATAGACCTGAATTTGGATCCTGCCTTCTTCAGTTATCAGCTATGAGACTTTAGTCAAGGAATTTAGTTCCTTTGAGTCTTTATTTTCTCATTGGTAAAATAAGAAAAATGTCTTTTTCCATTGAATATAAAGATTCAGTGATACAAATTATGCAGAATACCTAGAACACTGCCTGACATGTACTTGGTGTTAACATGAGTTTTTTCTTTCCTTTCACTTCTTGTTGGTTACCCTTCTAAAATTTTCCAATTTGCTCAGTTTAAATCTTTCTGAGCTTCAGTTTTCTCATCTGTGAAATGGGGATACCGTCCACATCTGTGGATGGTATCATAAAGATAGAATGAGAGCAAACGTCTTTTATTTTCCATTTACAGCTGCAAGCAAGTCATACCAACCTGCAAGCCAGATATAATGAAGCAAAGAAATCACTGACAGAGGTGAGCAGTTCTCCATTCTCTGTGGGCCCTTGTCGAGAGTCATTTTTGACCTGCACTACTAGTGGAATGCGGAGGAGACGTGATCCTATTCTCAGAGGCTCCAGTCCATTTGAGGACATAGGACACTTACATGGTAGTGTGTGAGCCATGCCATCAGTTTATCCACATCGCCACATTCAAAACCATCATCAGTCTTAGTGGGAGAAGTCACTGTGGACTATAAGGGTCAGGAAAGCTTCCTGAGGAAGGAAGGCCTGATGGGCAGGGCATGGGGTGTACAGAGAAGAACTCACAAGGTCACTCGCAGTGAATGGGCCCTGCTTCTTAATCAGCAGGTTATATAATAGCTCCCCAAATACTGAATCCCTTGAATGTGAGAAGGTTTCCTCTGAAAGACAAGAGAACTCAGAGCGATATGATTTGTTGTTCAGAATTGCCAGTTACCTCCTAGGCAGAATGGGGCTGGGGTTGCAGGAGGAGAAGAACCGTGGGGTGCATTCAAACCAGTGATTCAGTTTCTGGTCCAGGTTGCGAGTGTGCCATCTCACATCAGCATGTAGTGCTGCTCACCTCCCACTTCTGATTACCTAGGAAACCAGGCAAGGAAAACATATCTCTGATGCCACATCTGTCATGAAGAGCGTTTGGCTATTTTTGTCCCTTGGTTTCCACAGAAAGCTGTCCTCATCCAGACCTGAAAAGTGCTCTTTGTTGTGATTTCGGTGCTTGGGCTATAGCTGTACTCTGGAAGGGCCTCATTGAGAGATCCCTGCCTGGTGCTTTCTGGACCATTTGGAAACTGGGGTTCTTTAAAGACATCTTTGAACCCAAGGCAGTCCCTACTTTTATAAAATTTCACATGATATTTGCCAACTTACAATTTTTATTTCTGTAGCAGTATATAGCACTTAGTTTGCCACCTTGCTGTAAACCTCACAAAGCTTTTTAATTCTGACTTGGACTGTTTTCTTTAGTTATTGTCAGAATGTTTGAAAAGGGTGGACACAAGAATGGCCAGTAGAATAAAATTTTTTCTCCTTTTTATCCTAAAGATGCTTGCCTTTCCTTTGGACAGATCAGCTTCGTGTACACCATTCTGTGACTATATTCTTTATAAATTAGATGTCAGGGTTAGGGAGGGGAATCCCTGCTACTATATTACTTTTAATGATATAGAGTCTTTGGCATGAAGTTTGCCCAGTCATGGATCTGTCTTTGTACAACAATCTGGAAGAGATTAAAGGTAAAACATCTTAATACCAATTTTCTAGGACATTTCTATGGCTTAGGATATAAACTCTTAAGTGGCTATAAAGTAGCTTTTTGTAGTAAACACAAAATCAAGTATTTGTTGAGCCCTTCTCATGTGCTAGAAAGGTGGAGAGTGTGATTTAAGTCAGTAATTTACTGTGTGCTGGGTGTGGTCTGGGCACATCACAGTATCAGTCTGTTAAATCTTTGCAACAACCCTAGCAAAGTGCTGCTATCATTCCTTTTCTGCAGCTGGGGAAACTAAGGTAGAGAAGCTTAATAATTTGCCAAAGTCCATGCAGTAGGGAGCCTGGATTTGAATGCAGGCAGTCTAGCAACAAAGCCTTCTCAGAGAGCTTACTATCTATGAATAGTAGGACAAGCAAACTAATTCCCATCTAGAAAAATGGGAAGTTCTCCAAAATGTAGTGCTGAACAATTTCTGAAGAAACTTGACTTCTTCAGCCTGTGAAGTAAGTAATGACCCTCATCTCTGGGCCTGGTCTCATCTATTCAAGGCAAGAGTTGGGCAGAATGAGCACTCGGAACCCTTTGATGCCAGGATTCCTGGTTTTAACCTTTTTAGCAAAACCTGCCCTTCCAGGATAACCTAGTGGCACTGGGAAATAGAGAGGACTTGTATCTTTTCAGAAAATTTAGGAAAAGTGAAACAGGGTATGGAAGGTGGCAGACAGATGGCAGCTGTGCCTGACACCTCTGGAGGAGGCTGCGCAGCCACTTCAGGAGCCCAGGAGACTGGTTGGCCCTTGCGTCAGTGGCATGGGCTGCCAGGTTGTAGCCTGTCCACTGTGTAATGTCAGTGGTCACAATTTTAATTTCCTATGTGTGAGACTGACTCTTTTTAAATATGTGCACTATTCTCTTGTGTCTCTCTAAGGGCATTAATTGGACCTAAAGTTTTTCTTGTTCTGTAACTTTCTTCAGGTCAGAATTCACTTGTTGAGTTGAGATACCTTTTCTGTTTCTTTCTTCAAATGTTTGTTGATTCTTGGGTATGTGCTTATCTTTGATTTTGAAATTTCTGGTTACCATCTCTGGGTGCTGTATCTGTTTTTTGCAGCCGGTTTTACATGTTTATTCTGGAAGGGTGCTGCCTACCATTTGGTGGGATCAGCCAGTGGTAACTGCTAGTCTGGGTCAGGGAACTCCCCCATTTCTCCTGGGTATTGCCAACTATCTGGGACCCTGCTCTGCCTCTGAGATTTAAGCACCAACTACGGGGCTTAAGGGAGTCAAGCATCATTGCTTAGCCAACCTGGCTCTACCTAATGCAGATTCCCAGCCCTGCAAACCAGTCCTTCCTACCTCTGCTCACTCCACATGGCATCCTTCTCAGGCTATTCCTATTGGCCACCCATCATTTTTGGTGTGAGGTTTACTCTTGTGTTCTTGTCTGGATTTAGGGGGAGAGGGGTTCCTGAGGCAAGAAGGGGTTTCTCCAACTTGTGCTTAGTCTGGCTATTTTCAACTCTTGGAACTAGAACTCTACTTCAGCTAGAACTCTTGGAACTTTTTATTCAAGACTTTTCTTTTAATAGGTAACACATTCACATGGTTCAAAATTTAAAAAGTACAAAAGGTATAGCCCCATAACCCAGTTTTCTAGTTACCCAGTCCATAGAAACCAATGTAACAAGCTTCTTTTGAATCTTTTCAGAGATATTTTATGAATATGCAAGCAATTACATGTATTTTTTTATACATATATACATTCAACATTTACATTTCTTTATACACTTTGGAAGCATGCTGTGCTCATGGTCTTGCATCTTGTTTTCTCCACCTTAGGGTGGATACTAGAGATCATTGTAAAAGAGCTGCTTTTTTTTTAAGTAGCAGCTTAGTATTCTATTGTGTGATGTAATTGCATATTTTATACATTAAAATCTGAGTTTAAATTTATTTTTTAAAAAATCCTTATTATCTGCCTTAGAAAAAGAAAGTGAAATTGTTCAAGAAGTCAGAAGTTTTAACTCTGCCCCATTAACACCCGTGATAATGCTATTCTAAGATTTAAGCCTGATTCTCTCTCATACTCTTTATTTCCCCCTTGCTACCAAAGGATACCTGCTCTTGCTTTTGGCTTTCTGTCCATGTGCTGCAGTGACATGAAACCATTGCCAAGGTTTTTCTAACCAGCAGAATGTGTCTAGAAGAGTCTGGTTTTGACCTATTCAGGTTACCTCTCCACTCCCATCCCATTTCTCTGCTCCATCTATTTTCTCAATGCACAGCCAAATCCAGTGGGCTTGGCCACCTATCAAAAGTAGGGTTTAGGTGTGAGCCAGAGGGAAGAAGAATGGGCGCGCCCACTCTTCTATGCTACCAAGTCCCTAGCAATGATGCCTCCATTGTCTCTTACAGCTGAAGAGTTATAGTGAGAAACTGGACAAAGAGCAAGCAGCCCTTGAGAAGATAGAATCCAAAGCCGATCCAAAGTAAGAGGTTTCAGCATGCATTTATTTTCCCCTTTAAAAACCTTAACTTTGCCAATACCTGGTGGCTTAATTTGTTTGGGGACATAACAAAATAGCCAAAGGCCATCAGTTTGGGCCCCTCAGTTCAGTTCATTTCACACACCCATCCATAAAGTGGCAACTCTCTGTTGCTCAGGCACGTTCTGAAATGCGCCTGGGTTGCCTTGAGTTAGCCACCTTTCTCCCAGTTCCCCTTAGAAGCAGAAGCAGCATTTTGTTGTTTGCTTTTCTGTTTTTAAAGTTGGTCATACCTTTATGGTACAAAAAGGGCATATAGTGAAAAGTGTTCCTCCTGCCCCATCCCCAGTCACCCAGTTCTCTTCCTTGGAGTCCACCAGCAGTACCGGTTTTTTAACAACACATATATCTGTGGGAGAAGAGGTATAGTCTTTTTATCAAGGCACAGCTGCTGTAGTTTTGTTTTGTTTTGTTTGTTTTTACATTTCCGTATAAAATTCATTGTCATTAGAGGAGAAAGAGCACTTAACATTTGACCTTTTTTGCTCCAGACTGTTTGAATGTTAAAATCTCCTAGGTATTGCTTATTTGAATGAGATTTAACAAAAGTACCCACAGATTACTTGGCTCTGTAATTTAAAACCTTTCTTTTATGATTTGGATCAAAGTGCTATAAGATATTTGAAATTTTTATTTTTTAATTAATGCTTTTAATAGCCTTAAGCAACTTGTTTCCTTTTCAGAATGGATATTAAAAATGATTTTCAATACTGTATATGCCCTGAATATAGTTGAATAATTGATATCATAAAATATATCCAGTACCTCTGAAACTCATTGATGTTTCTATAGTTGACATTTTAATTCTGGAATCCATAATGTTAGTTTAGAGCTGGCCTGATGGTCTTGGGGATATAAATGAATAATAATGTCAGTTAAATCAATGGCATTATCCTTTGTGGACAATTCATCAGAAATTCTTGGAGAAGACAAAGGAAATTAAAAAGAGAGTCCCTTTTTTTAGCTGGGGACCTGATTTTTCTGTGATTCATAAAATCATAATGGCCTGCCATGTTTGTTTGTTTTTTTTTTTTTTCCGTCTTTTTCCTTCAGTATTCTGCAGAACTTGAGAGCACTTGTAGCCATGAATGAAAATCTGAAAAGTCAGGAGCAGGAGTTTAAAGCACATTGTCGAGTAAGTGTCGTTTAGCATCAGCAAACAAACCAGGACTCTTATAAAATCTCTTGGTGTACTTCCCCTTGTCCTGTTGTCTCATCCTATCCAAGTGCAGTTTCAAAAGTAGATTCATGGAACAGTCACATATCAGTTGTATAAGATGAGTAGAACACTATAATAGGTACCTTCTGGGGATACTAGAAGTTAGCTTAGTATTAATGACTGTGTGCCGAACCTCAAAATTGAGAACATAGTCTAGCAAACAATGTTATCTAATTTATGAAGTTATTTGAAAGAAAAGTCTTACAAAGTTTTTTTTAAAAAATATATCATATTTTGTTGACATGAGCTTTGTGAAAAGAATAACATTATACAAAACCAGGGCTGTCCTGAAAACCTAGGATGTCACTGTGTCCTGTGTATAATCTCTGGCTCCTGCCTTCTGAGAACTTGTAGTCTAGTCATGGGGGTGATGTGTACACAGGTGACTGAAGTGGGAGGCAGGGAAATGAGGCTGGGCAAGTTCAGTGTGAGATCCAGTGGAGGAAAGGCCACTCTGACACCGGGGCCATCAGGAAGCTAAATCTTACTTGAGGGCCAGGGAGGAGGGACTTCCAGCTCCAGGCTGGAAGGGCCTCAGGTAAGGTGGACAGGTGGATAAGGCTGAGGCCTGCTGGGAAGAGGAAGCAGGTAAGGCTGATTAGAACTAGCCTCTAAACCACTGTCATTTGCGTTTCATTTCCCAGCGATTTACTGCGTACCCCACTGGCCCTTTAGAAATAAAGGCCTCTCCTGACTGAGGTACAACTGCCTGTATCCTCCTGAAAAGAACTTTGCCATGCTGAAAATTGGGGATCAGTGCAGCTAGCTTCTAATAGGCTTTTTATCCTAGCATAAATGCATGAAATGTGAAAATAAGATTTCTGGATCAAATAGTTAAATAATTGTATCCAGTTGCTAGCTTGTTCAAGTTTTGTAAATGTTGCTATCGCTTATAAAGGAGGAGATGACACGGCTGCAGCAGGAAATTGAAAACCTCAAAGCTGAGAGAGCACCAGGCGGAGATGAAAAGGTAAAGGCTCTGCATTAGTCCTTGAGACTGTTAACGTGCTGTTGTTACTTACACAGTGAAAGGATTTCTAAAAGACTAACCAGCAACCAGTTTGGTGCTCACTTAACCTAGTCCTGTAAATACACATTTCTCAACTATTTTCCTCCTGTGATTTTTTTAGATTTGTGCCCACCTCCTTTCTCTTCCTTGGGGGGGGGGGGGGTAAAAGGCAGTAGTGGGTGTGAAGGGCAGCAACCCAGATAGGAATTACCAGCTTGTACAACTCTGGCGTCTCCCTCCCTTTAGGGAGATGTTCCCAGGAAATGCGTGAGCTCAGTTTCCTATTCAACCTGTTCTTTAAAATTTCTTCCTGTTGACCCATTCTACTCTCCTCCTTTCCTGTGCAAAGAAATGCCCCCTTCCCCAAAGGCAGTAATGAACTTAAAAAAGGAGAACAGTATCTGCCCCCTTCCCAAAAGGGAGCAGTGAACTTGAAAAACGAGAATAGTGTTGAGTTTAATGTTAGAGCCCCAGGATTGCAGGACCATTCTGGCTTTAGGGAACACTTCTGATCAACTAGTTCTCTGAGCAAAGGACTTGATCTTCCAAGGAGCTAGTGTGGATTTCTGTCAAATGTTAAATCAAAAAATAAGGACAGGAAAATAAAGTCTGTTTCTCTCACCAGATAAGAGAGATGGTAGGGATCATTTTTTGTTTTCACTTCTCATACTTTATTCAAATCTTATTTTCTGAGGAGCTCTGTGCCTAGAATGCAAGAACTAGATGGGTTCTTAGAACCCATCGTTTGCACCCTCTCCCTTGTAGAAATGGGGAACTTGAGTCTCAAGGCGGGATAGAGATGGTCCCAGCCAACCAGCACCAGAGCCCACAGAGTGCCCCGCTGCTCAGCCCAGCACTCTGCACTGGCCTGTGCCCTGGCTGTACAGGACACTGCCACACCAGCAGTGAGCAAAGGCCTTGCTGATGTCTGTCCCTCATCCTGACTGGTGGTGTCATTTGCATCTGTGAGGGGACTGGCATGGGTGAAGGGCAGAGCCCAGGAAAGCAGCCGTGTTCTGAGACCATCATCACACAGCCTGCCTTTCCAGTTGTTTCTGAAACTTTGAAACTTTGAGGCTCAAATCATCAGCTTGGGCAGCCTGAGTTTGCACAAATCACAGACTCTCAGGATCACATTTCTCTTCTCAGCACATCTTGTCAGAGGAATTCTTAACTCATGTTCAGAAAGAGTTACAGTTTACCTTGTTTGTGTGTAACCCTAAGAACAGTTTAAAATCTGGGGCTCATCCAAGGGTTGTTCCCTTTCTGCTCACTCCTCTCGCATGCTCGGTGGGCACCAGCATTTCCCAGCTGCACTCTCATGCCCCTACCTTGACCCTTTCCTATGTCTAGGCCCTGGTGTTCTCTCCCTTTCCCCTTACTCAAAAAAGATGTTTATTGTATTTCTATCATTTCAGAACCCTTCCAGTGGAGAGCCACATAGTGCCCGGACCTCAGTGATGACTCATGAGGTAAGTACCTGCCCATTCTCAGGGCTGGTGTTGTCCCCAAGGGCGTGGCGTCCAGCTTTGCACTCTCCTGTGACGGTGTCTCATGCCTTCCTTAATTTCTCTATGGCCACTTCCACGTCTGCTGGGCCTTCAGGGACATCGTCCCATTTGACACACCTGGCTCCTCAGATGGAGGCAGGTTCTCACCAGGAGCTGAAGGTTACCGTTGTGGTGGATTTCTTCCCAGTCCAGCATGCAAGCGCTCTGTCTTCACACTGGCATCTCACCTGAGAAGGGGAGAGGCCTCATTGGCTGCACATGCTGGTTACAGCCACAGACTGAGGGGTGGGGGTGGTACAGAGGGAAAAATCTCTCTCTCTGATGTAACTGTATAGCAGGGTCAGCAGACTATTTCTGTAAAGAGCCACATAGTATTTTTTGCTTTGTGGGCCAACTCTGCTGCAGTGGCCATAGTTGACATGTAAATGAATAGACATGACTATGTTTAAGAAAACTATTTACAAAGATGGACCACGATGCACATTTTTTGACCCAAAGGCTATAGGATAGCCTCTGTTCTGAGTTACACCAGTGCTCCCAGCATTCCATCAAACCTCCAGGAGGAAGAAATACGAAAGGAAGAGGAGGAAGAAAAGCAAAGCAGGAAAGCTCTAAACATTTGCCATCTTCAAGAAGTCCTCTCCCTTTGTGCTCTCATAATCTCCTAGTAGGAAGAGCTCCAGGACTCCTACGGTGAAGCCTATTGCACTTTGCCTGCAGCTGAGCCCTGCGGAGGAGACTGAGTGTGTGTGTTCCCTGCACACACAGGGTCAGGGACGCCTCTGACCCCTTTTGTAACTTTCTCTGAGGCAACAAACCAGCCAGCCAGGGTCTTACCTCATCAGATTCAGTGAGGGACTAGTTAGTGTCTTTTTATTCTCTACATCAGTACTGTCAAAAATAATTTTCTGCAGTGATGGAAATGTTCTTCATCTGCAGTGGCCAGTTGAGTAGCCACTGGCTATGTGTGGCTGCCAAGCATTTGAACTGTGGCTAGTGCAACTGAGAAACTGAATTTAATTAATATAAATTTAATTAATTTAAATATAAATTTAAATATAATTAATTTTATATTTAAATATAAATTTATATTTAAATATAAATTTAAATATAATTAATTTTAATATAAATTTAAATAGCCACATGTGGCTAAAGGCTATCGTGTTCAACAATAGAAACATAGAAAGAAAACCAGCATCATCTCCAAACATAGAAGTGTAGAACAATAAATTATTTAAGTAATGATTTTGTCTTCTTATCATTATACCATGTTTCCCCGAAAATAAGACATACCCATAAAATAAGCCCTAGCAGGATTTCTAAGTATTTGCACAATATGAGCCCTACCCCGAAAGTAAGACCTAGTGATGGGCATGGCTATGCAGCGTATCTGCACAACCCATGCATTTTGTCGCAGAGCAGTAAAGAAGATGAGCAGCCCTTCTCATCTGCTCCATGAGAGCTCTATTGCTTGACATGAGAGATTGGGGCCAATGGTCCTAAGGGAAATAGAGTCACAAGAAATTCAGGATGGAATTTGGGGTTTAGAGAGTTATGATGATGTTCCAGAAGAAGACCACTTAACTATATTTGAATAAATATAGATTTTTGTACCGTACTTAAAAAAAATAACACATCCCCTGAAAATAAGCCCTAGGGTGTCTTGAGGAAAAATAAATATAAAACCCTGTCTTATTTTCAGGAAACACGGTAGTTTTTTTAGGGCAAGCAGGGGAAGGGCATGCAGATTTGGAGGTTACTTCACTTATAAGAACACTGAACTCAGTGTGGATCCCAGAAGGAAGAGTTGTTCCAATATGATATGAAAGGGTGTCGAGTGTCTCACATGAGATGGGACCCAGACCCTAAATTTGGCCATTTAAGAAAAGATTTTGAGGGTTCAGGATAGGGGAGATATTATAAAAACATATTCACTTCCAAAGATTCCATTAAAAAATGAAAGTTTTCTATTCTCAGATAATTGCAACCGTTTCCAATTTTTAGGAAGACCTAGACAGACGATATAATATGGAGAAAGAGAAACTCTACAAGATACGTTTGCTACAGGTGAGTAAAAACAAGAACCAAAAAAATAAGTAAATGCATCTAACTAGGTATGAATCCCTTATAACAGATCTAGAAAATCTCTAGCTCTAAGACTAATATCTAAGAACTAGATAGGCTAGGTAATAAGGCTGCTGTTCACCAGTCTTCTTTCTATCTAGAATGTAAGTCTGTGATTTAAGATGTTGATAATAATGCCTCACATTGGTGTGTTACTTTCATGTCACTCATCGGAGTGGATCCTCACTCCAGGTGGAGAGTAGATGTTATGAGCCTCAGTTTTCATATGAAGAAATTGACTCAGATAGGTTAAGTACTTGCACAAAGTCAAGCCGCTGGTAAGTGCCAGAGCCAGGATTCAAGTTCCCTAGTACTTGTCAAGTGTTCTTGTCTAGTACTATTCCTTGCAAATTAAGTGCACATTGTAGCTGTCTTTTGATAATCAGCGATTTATGAAAATAGTATCAAATGTGAAGGAGGTAGGTTTTAAAGGCAGCTCTAAAACTAAATTCACAGAGTACAAATTACATTTTGAAATACCCTACATTGCCAGTCTGGCTCATGGAAGCTCAAAAGCCAAGAAATTTGTACACTTTGTGTTCGGCTCAGGCCGTCTTTGTGTTCTCTGGGAGGGAAAGGCCAGGCACTGGTGGTAATGGCCAAAGGGCTGCAAGGGCCAGTGAGGTCCTATTTCCCTTCTCTCTGGCTCCTACTTATTTTGCTGAGCTCTGTGGTTAAATTTGGGTGAGTCAAATTTGTTTTTGATGCAAGGATTCTACTAATCTTTAAAGACTCGCAGAATTAAATAAAATCAGAACTGTACAGCTACTTATTTGGAAACTTTTTGAGTGGTTACTACATATTCAGCACTGTACTAGGTCCCAGAGACAGTAAATGGGATGACCCATCTTCCTGGAGCTGGCTGCTGGCCATTTGAGAACTAAGACATGTCCAGAGACATCAAAGTACAAGGGTGTTATATGCAAACAGCCTACTGAGGGCAGCTCCAGACTGACTGGGGGAAGCTGCAGGAACGCCAGTAGCTGGCTGAGTCAGGCATTGGCTGTGGGGTTAAGTGGAGAGGAACTGGTAGGGAAGAGACTGAGGGCCTGTAGCTGACAGAACTTAGTATTGGCTGGGTGAGAGAAAGAGAAGAGTAAGGATGATGCTTGAATTTCTGACACAAGGGTGGATAGTTGTGTTATTCACTGAGAAGAAGCATAAAAGATTAAGCATAAAAGGTTAAACATAAAAGCATAAGGTTAAGGGGGAGGGTGGGAGTATGAATAGGACTGTTAATGCTATCTGTTTGGGACTTTTAAAAGTTGGGATATTCATCCAAGTAGAAATGTCCAAGGAGTGGATGGTTGTCATGTCCAACTCTCAGAATAGTCTGGGAGGAATACGTAGGTGTCTGCACTGTTTCAAAGAGGAATGAGACTGAAAATGTAGAAGCAGCCCTGGACTTAACCCTGGTGAGTATAGCATGTGAGGGCAGGCAGAGGAAAAGGAGGGTTCCACCAATGAGCATGAGCCCAAGCAGCTGGATAGGAAGACAAAAGCATGAGGCCTCGTGGCAGCTGAGCCGAGAACTCAGTAGAGAGGAGGGGACGTGCTGCTAGAAGTTAAGAAAGCTAGAAGCTAAGAGTTGTCTACTAGGTGTGGCCTCAAAGAAGGTCTACGGTGACTTTAGCAAGAGCAGTTCATGGGGGACCTGAGGAAAGCCTGGTTGTTGGGTTGAAGGAGGAGTGGAGTGAGGAAGCACATGGCTTCCAGCATTTGGCTGTGGCAGGGAAGAGAAAGAGAAAGAGGCTGGGAGCTAGGTTTAAGGAAAGGCGTTTGTAAGGAGTGAGGGACTGGAGGATATTTAAATGCTGGTGAGAAGGAGCCAGGTGATAAGGAAAGGTTAAAGATGCAGGAAAAAGACTGAGTAGTTGTATCTTAAGATTCCTAAAACAATAAAATAGGAGTCAGAGCCTGAGCTCCCACGGGAAGCTTAGCCTTGATGTGAAGGAGAAATCTTCCCTCTAATCAGAGCTGCAGACACCCTATTTTGGGTTTGGTCATTAGAGTTGATGGTGAGTTTCCCACCAGAAAGCTCTTATTTCCTCAATGAATTAGAGATCCACATCTGCAAGTGAAGCAGGCAGGGAGAGTGGGAGGTGTGGGGGACAGAGGAATGAAGGCACAGAAGAAAGGCAGTGCCCAGAGCTCGCTTGGTCCCAAGACTGCAAATGTGCGGCAGGAGCCCTGTGCAAGTGAGCAGCTCACTCCTGCGGCAACTGGCTCGAGCACCACACAGCATAGCACTGCACCACCTTTCAGACCCGGTTGTAGGCGGTTTCCCCAGTCCATGGAAGTGAGAAAGTGCTGGAAGGGTATTTCGGGGGTAGATTGTAGGGGCTTTTCAACCAGGCTGGGGAATTTGGAATGTATGTGGAGGCAGCAGGGTAGCATAATGTCCATTATCTCAGAAGCATTCCTGCCATTGCCTGTCCCCAATTGGCAGTGGTGGAGCCAGCTACTCTAGAGTACTTTGGGGCCTGGCGGGCTAGCTGTGAGCTCTGTCACAGAAGCCCTTCCCGTTCAGAGTTTTCCTTCCTAGTCCATTGACTTGATGTTTTCTGTGGTTGTACAGTGAGAATGTCAATCAAAATCTGAGAGGGGGACCTCAAGCTAAAGGCAGAAATTTGTGCCTGCATTCCAGGCCATGTGGTTGGGCTCAGGTGGGGGTGCACACAATATTTTGGCTCCCCAGAGAACATGTTCGGCCTTTTACCAAATAGTTCTCCCCTGTCTTTTGCATTTAGGCTCGAAGAAATCGAGAAATAGCAATTTTGCACCGCAAGATTGATGAAGTGCCCAGCCGAGCCGAGTTAATACAGTATCAGAAGAGATTTATTGAACTCTACCGCCAGAGTAGGTGCATCAACTACAAACAAGGCTGGGGAGGGACAGGAAGCAAAGGGCTCTGTCCCACTTTGGCAGGGCAGAGTGTGCACCAGAGCTCAGTCCATGAACGCCACCACCAGAAAGGGCTCCTCTTTTCATCATCAGGCCTGCTCGGCAGTACCGGGAGCAGCACCGTGGCCTCTCACCGCCCTCCCCATGGGCAGGTTGTTGAAGCCAGCTGAGCTCTTAGAGTAATGCTTTGAACCAGCCCCATCCTGCTCGGCCACGTGGCGTTCCCCTGAGCTCCTGCTCCACTTTCCAACTTCTCATGGAACACCGTGGCCAAGTGTCTGGAGATCAGTCCTCACTCATTGTTCTCTACAGACTTCCTTGCTTATGTGGTCCTTACCTTTAACAGGATTGTGTCCACCTAGTCACCCAGGACTGGGTCCCCTTCATTCTGAATCTGACCAAGTGTCATTAAGCTCAGAATGGCCCTCAACGCTGTCATTGCTTTTCTCTTCCTACTACTCCTGCCTTATCTGCTCTCACTTACATCGTATCTCAGCTAAATGACCATTAGCTGGCTTGCAGCACCTCCTCCACATCCCTTGCCAGCATCTGGTTATATCACTTCTGTCTGCTGACAAATCTCAAGAGCTCCTCAGGGCCTAAAATAAAGCCTTTCTCCTCATTGTGCCTGGGATCCTCCCCAGACCCCTTTCCTGATCTGAACCCTCACTTTGGCCTCACCAGTCCATGCATTGCCTCTGGGCACACCCTGAGCTTTGACATCTTATCCTTGACTCCTCCAGTTCACTGCGCCTGGATCCCCTCTCTTCTGTCAGGCAAAATCCTTCAAGACCCAACTCAGATTCTGTCAGCCTATCCTGGGTCCCCCACCCCGGGCAAGAATTAATCACCCCTTCTCTAGGCTCCCACTGTTGCATGTCCCCGTGATACCTCAAACTCAACAGGTACAAACCTCCCCAACCCTTGTTCCTCTACCAGGCTGGCCGCCTCTCAGTTCTCTGACTCATGCTGCATGCCAGTTCTGTTTCTTAGTAATTCTTAAGTCCATTTAATTCCTTCTCTACATGCTTGCCTGAGAGGTCTTTCTCAAACGTAAATTTGGTCATTTTATACCCTTGCTCTAAAAGCTGTAATGTTTAATAGCTCCCCATAACACCTTGGATAATCCTCAGAATCTTAAATCCACTGTACAAAATCCTGCATCATCTGTGCCCACTTCACTGTCCATCTTCCCCTATAGTCACTTGGTGCCCTACCCCTCTTGTGTATCTGCATCTTGGCCTTGAGTAGGTATCCAAGACTGGAATGCCACTGTCTGCAAATTCCCACTTGGCATTTAAAAATCCACCTCAGTTTTGTCTTGAGGCCTGGCCCTCTCAAGCACCCTTCCTGGTTCAAGTTAGAGCACGGTCCCTACTGGAGGATTCAGATCATGCTTCTTTCCCAGGTCCTGCCCCAGCACTTGCGGTTTCATCTAGTCCTTGCATTAGCCTCGGATGATCTGAGGCAGGTATCAGCAATTACAATTTTCAGCAGAATCTTTTCCCTTTAATTTTCTATTCCTGCTTGTTTCTAAACTTTTAGCAGTAATAATAATAGTAGTAATAAATAATAGTGCCTTGCATTAGTATATTTCACAGAGCGAATTTTACATGTTAAAGTCATTTGATAAGGATGTTTTTACACCAGAGAAATTGTCAAACAGTTGCACCAGAATAACTATATCAATTTTTATTGCTATTATCAAATATCTACAACCCCCATTTAATGTGTGACCCAGATAGTTTATTTATGGCGGTAATTTTCAACTTTGACTATCCACTATCATCACGTGAGTCCCACCTACAGACATTCTCCTTTCACTGGTCCTGAGAGTTTTAAAAATATATCCCAGGTGATTCTGTTTTCACACTGTGGGGCTTCCGCAGAGAGTGAGTGCCCGGCCCTGGCAGAACTGGGTGCTGGTGGCATGCGGCATGGGGAGGGCACTTAGCCTGTTCTGATGCCTGTTCTTACTCATGTGCTGATTTCTTTCCATTTACAGTTTCAGCAGTGCACAAAGAAACCAAGCAGTTCTTCACTTTATATAATACCCTGGATGATAAAAAGGTTTATTTGGAAAAAGAGGTAAGAATCTTTGTAAAAAGAAAATGGCTTAATGAGAGGATCAGCTAACAGTGCAGTTGACTCCAGATAGTCAAATGAACTTGATGTCTGGGTTTGCTGTGTTCTGTATAAGCAGAAAGAGTGCCCCTTTATGCCAGCTGCTGGCATACAAAGTCAGAAAATGCAAGCTTCTTTGGGAGCTCACATTATCTCGGAGGGGGGGGAAGTGAGACCTATTGACAGCTGTCCCAGAGTGCCGTGTGAGAAATGCCATCATAAAAAGAAACACAGTGGGAGCACTGGAGCTAGGAGACTAACTTGAGTTTTAAAGGGAGGGAGGAACCAGCTAAATGAAGTGGGGATGGTGAGCTTATTATAGTTTACTTAGAGAAAATAGCTATGTAATCATCAATGACAGACATAGGAATGAACTAAAAGGATTATAAAATTCAAAGCAGGGGTGAAAAGAGTTGACATGGGCACCCCTCTTCTTACTTGCAGACTCTCTCTCTCAGTTTAAATCTATTCATGTCTCAAAGCTCCCTCAAGCTGGATGACAAATGATTAGGGCAGAGTGTATAGCTGTGTTTTATGAAAAAAAAAAAAAAAAGTTCCTGGTCCAGAGTGGCAGTACAGTGTAGTGGAGAGAGCACAGGCTTTGGCATCAGAAAGATTTGGGTTTTAGTATGGCTTCCTTCGTCTCACCTATAAACTGGAGATAACACCTGATTGTGTTGGTGATGATTATGATGAAAACAATGGGAAAAAAGTTCATTGCACATGGTCAATTCTCAATACACATTATTCCTACCTACTCTCTCACCTAGAGTTTGACAGAATTTGTTTTTATTTCATCATCACCTTGTGACCTGCATTAATTACCACTTTAATAAGAATAATATTACAGATATATCACTTACCTGAACCCAAATTGAGGCATCTATAATTGTCACCTTTATTGCCTGTTGTCAGTCAAAGCAGATAAATCTCTCCTCCTAGGCACTCCTTGAAGAGGGGTTGAATTTTATTTTTTTCAGTATCCAGGGCCTTACACAATGACAGGCACATAACAGGCATTTGATACATGTTTGAGTAAATGAATGCATTTGGTGGGATTCGCACTAGACCTGGGAATAGCTCTGCCCCACACCCTGGCCTTGGGGATCTTCCTACCTGGCAAGGGGAAGATTTCCCAACCCTAACTCAGGGACAGGCCAGCTCCTTCTCAGAAGGCCTTGGAGCCCATTGACCTTCTTTCATCAACAGTGTTTGAAGTTGTTGCATTTTTAAAAAAACTAGTAGTATTGGAGTGTGGGAATTGGAGGCTGGACTTTTTAATTCTAAGCCATGGTAACACAGAACTTCACATTTGAATAAATTGGATATTTTAGTCTAAATGCATTTATGCCTGTGATATTTTAGCCTTAAAACTTCCCTGTGGAGTAATAAGAACAAGAAACATTTCTATATTGCAGACTGTGAACCTCAAGTTCAAATACAATAATTACTTAGTCCTGAGCCCCCAAGTCAAGTAGTTGCACAGCCAAAAAGAGAGGACCTAGATTGCTGTACTCCAGACTCAGAACCCTTCCCAGGACTGCATCACTGGGGCAGACTGAGGGTCTTACTGTGGGGGCTGAGGCAGTGTCCATGGGAACGGGGCCTTCAAAAGTGTATCCCTGGGAGGCTGTCAGAGCCACCCAGCCGCTAGCTGCACTATCAAGAAGATTCTGTGGGAATGGCTAGGATGGACACTGAGTCCTCACTTTCCACCCCAGCTGACTCCCCCTGAGCTGATACCCTGAAGATAAAGTGCAGCACTTGGCAAGATAGGGGCTGTGGTGGTGGCTTGCCCAAAGAGCCCTCATGTTAGCTGGGCATCTTCTCAGCTGGGGTCTAGGTCCCTTCAGGGAGCCCTCTTCCTACACTCTTCCTACATTCCTGTGGGAATGCAGTGCAGAAAGAGGGCATCTTCTGTGAGTAGAGGGAGGTGGATTCCCTGAGGAAAACTACAAGACTAAGAACATGTGCTTTTTTTTCATATGTTATTAATACTTTAATCTTCATAAACAAGGTATGTGTTCCTTTCAAAAGCAGTGTCTGGAGACAAAGCAAGCTTTCAGTGATTGAGGTAGTACAGAAATCTTTCAGCTTTTTACTTAGTGTTGTGTTTTGTTTGTTTTATTATTTTGCTTCCTTAGATTAGCCTGCTGAACTCAATTCATGAGAACTTCTCACAGTAAGTACTGCCATTACTCCTGCCTATAAATAGCTGGTCACCCTGCACTTCATGTCCAGTCTATCTTGTATCCCCATAGTCTGATTGAGAAAGGTAAACATAAGACTTGATGCAGGGTATGTGATTCTTACACTTGGACCCCTGCTACTAAGTGCAGATGTATCTTGGTTTATACTGTCTTTGAGTTCCTGCAAAAATATAATGATACTGGAGTGAATTTTAAAAACAAAGGAAGAGCTTAGGAAAAAAGTTCACTTTCAAATAAGTTGCCTATGCCTATCTACTATAATGTCTTTGTACAGTAGTTTTGCTTGGTAGGATCAGATTAATATAATTTGTCCTTGAACACATAGAGCTGCTTTAAAATTTAAATAATGAAGTAATTGATATAAATTTTTTAAATATTTTTTTTAAATTTAGTGGTAGACTTTGTTTTTAAAATTAATGTGCATCCTCTAAATTACTTTGTTTAGATAGCAATTTTTTTCTCCAAAATTGGATGGCAAGGCCCACTTGGCCCACATCCTACCAGCCCTCAAGCGTGTCTGTTGGCCCATCTACCATCTGGGCAAGCCCAGGGCTTGCTCCCTGGATAGCAGGCTTCCTTTTTCTCTAGCACGAACCTCTGCTGTCCCCTGACAGGTGACCAGGGACCCATTAAGAATGAGATTTTAATGAATGATAAGCCCTAGATTTTAAGCTTCTTTTGTAATTAAAAAAAAAAAAAAAGGAAAACCATAGCTCCCTGATAAGATTCAGATTCAGTTAGTGACATACAACCTTGTGACATTTCTAAGAATGGTGCTTTCATTTTTCTTTCTTGGTAATTGAGAGATCCTGCAGTTTTGAGTATTTTTGTGAAGAATACTGCTCTGCTAGTTCATCCTTTGGAAGAATTCTCAATCTTGTATGTGTGTGTGGTGTGCTCTGATCCTCCTGGTGTCCTTCCTCGGCAGAGCTGGAGGTGAAGAGGAATGCTTTAGGACAGCAGGGAATCCATTCATTTAGCTGCTGCTTCCAGAAAAGGACCAGGTTTCCCATCCCTGGTTTTTGGAAATCTCAGAATATATCTACCAGTCTTGAGCAGTGTCTTCTCCTGATCCTCAGGTTTTTAAAAACTAAACGAATTCATTTCTTAAGCAGCACATGTCATAATTCAAAGTAAATAACACTTTTGTTCATTTTAGTCACGTTTTATTTTACTTTAAGAAAATACTTATTAGTAAAGAAAGTTGTAGGGAGAGTAGAGACAAAAAGAATGAATATGCAATTATAAGACTGGACTAATTTTCATGTCTTCCTCAGAAGTTTAGAATCCTTAATTGCCTGGGATCCTAGAGGCCCCCATGGTCCACTGTGCATTGCAAAGTCCCATTTGCCTCTTGGGACATAATCTGGGTATGGGGCTGACTCCTTGGCATCTCCCCCTTTCTTAGTCCTGTGTACTGGTCATAACCTTTGCCGATTTTTCTTCCAGAGCCATGTCCTCCCCTGCTTCCCGGGACCAGTTTTTACGTCAGATGGAACAGATTGTAGAAGGAATTAAGCAAAGCAGAATGAAGGTCAGGTGGCTTATTTTCTCTAAATGTAGCCCAGGTTTCACAGTGGTGGGGAAGGTCCCGGAAAAACATAGGCTTTTTCTGGTTGCTCTGAGAGCGAGTGTGCTCTCAATCCCGAAGACACTCATTGCGGCCGAGGGGCTCCCACTATGCACCTGACTGCAGTGAGCATTGCCTGCTGCCCACACCTGTAGGTTTAAAGGCTGCTGTTAGCAATTGCTTCCCAGTATTGAATACCTACTGAGTGCCAAGCACTGTGCTCATCCTCCTAAAAGCTGTCTTACATGAGTGGTATTGAACCCATTTCATAGATGAGAAAATCAACTTTCACCAACAAGCATCCTCTCTCCCCTAGTATCACTTCCTCACTGGATCTTTGGTACCTGACAGTCTGCCATGAGAGATTCCTTCTTTAGGATCTTGAGAGCATTCTAGTTTTCAGGAGCCACCTATAAAAATGGCATATCATCACTGAACTGAGTTCTGCTTAAGTGAGGAGCTTGAACAAAGAGGAGAAGAGAGAGGCACTGGAAAGGGGTGTGGGAGCACCAGAGAGCTTTGCAGAGAACCGCTCCGTCTGGGGCACCATGGGGTTTCCCTCCCTTCATGCTCTGCACACAGGCCATATTTTGTCAGGAGGAAGGTGGACTCGCTGCCTGCTTTCGCTGAGAGCATACACACCGCAGCAGTTTCCTACCCCATTCCTAGATGAATCCTAACTAGTCCCTTCAAATATCACTTGCTTGCTATCCTGTTTAAATAATGCATCACACCAGAGTGGTCCTCTGACAAGTCAGTAAACTCTTCAGGGACTTAGGGTATCCCCTCTTATGATCTTGGGGCAAAATGCTATAGTGAGTGATGCCAGAATGTAAACACATAAAAACAGAAATTGCCTGTAGGTCCTGTCATCGTAAAAAACCCACTTACAGAAGACAAACATTCAGGCTGCCTGTAATCTCATCTCACAAGAGATGAGCTAAGGGTAGAAGTGCTCCATATCCCTTTCCCTATAGAAAAATATCATTAATCTCACCATTAATGACTTCAATAAAATGATGTCAAAGGAGAAAAAAAAAAGTATCAGTAGTAACAAGCATGATTTCTCAGACTATTCAGCCACAAAAATGAGAGCAGGCATAAGTCAGCGCTTGCCTGTAGACGTGCACTCACCCAAGGCAGGTAGGCTGTCCTGCAGAGCGAATGAAGTTTGTTCTCAATAATCTGGGGTGTGAGGTTGGTGGAAAACAGAACCTGGCTGACCGAGAGCCTGTGGCAGCCCAGGTCACAGTGTGGTAGACCTTTCCACCCGCCATTGCTCCTCTTCAGGAGCTGCTCTGTTCACAGTGCAGAACAACAGGAATTCACTGGGTTTGCTTCCTTTGGCTTCCCCTTCCTACTTACTGAGAGCTGCCTTCCTAGCAGGGAGGGGGGCCTGACGCCTGCATTCTCTCTACTCTCCCCCAGGCCTCCTGCTGTTGGCACCTCATTGCTGGCCAGTGAGGGAAGTCGCTGCTGGGTCTCTGTCTCCCCACTAGATGGTGGACTCCAGACGGGTGATCGGGACCCAGGGCAGAGCTGACTCTCTTTATCAGATCTGTGTCCCCAGTGACAAACATAGTGCCTGACCCATGGTGGGCCCTTAACTATTTGTGGAATGAGTGAATTCATTCAATGGAGTCTAAGAGCAGTTCTCAAAGAGGGTTCCAGATAGGGTTTGAATGTTGCTTGGCACCCTGAGTGGAATCAGTCTGTTTGCTCTGCACAACAGCACTCATTTGGATGGTTGTGCTTTGTTGGGTTTGTTTAACAAAAACAAACATAGCCCTCCCTGTAACAGTGCTGTAATGGGCCCTACTCCTGTAGATGTAGCAGCGGGGTCTGTGTCCTCCTGAGCACAGATTCTTCTGACCTGGCAGGTTCAGGGTGTCATGTATAGACCAGCACACGTGATAGACTGTCACTTTGGGTACAAGTGATAGAATGGATATTTATGTCCATCCAAGCATTTCTGAGTAGAGAGAGAGTCACATATTGGTGGGCATTTTGACCTTACTGAGAGGAGATAGGGTCTTGGGATCTCAGGAATACTGTGAGCAAGTGCTTGGCACAAGCAATCTGGAGTTCCAGACCTAGGGTGTGAAGAGGTGATAAGTAGGGAATAGGAATGGTACGAGCGCACAGGGGATGCTGAGAAGAGTGTGCAAATGAAACAGACTAAAGAGTCAGCTCCTGATTCTGAGAGTGAGGGGGACTCTTAACCATTCTCTTTCTGTGTTCTAGGATGCTAAATGTTAAGGAGAAAAGCTGTCTTCATTGAGCAGCCAATATGAACCAAATGATGGATCTTTTATTTAACATTTAATATCACATATTCCTTATAACAAAACCTGTGATCAAAGTGATATTATCCTTACTTAGCTAAGGGACCTATCATTTCTAAGAGGTTAAATAAGCTGTCCAAGGATACGCAGCGAGTGGCACAGCTGGGATACAGACGTAGGCCTTTCTGGCCTCAAGCTCATACGCTTTCTAGGTTGCCACACTACCTCCCATAGTCCGTCCTGGATAAATTCATAATTGAATTCAAGTGCATTGTCTACATCATATGGCATAATCAGTCATGGCCAAATTTTTCTCTAAAGTACAGAGCAGACAGGAGGCCTGGGGTAGAACTGCCTTCTGTGCTAAATAAGAGGGAGGGACCTACCTATTAGATCCTAGCCAGGCCAGCAGAAAAAGTATCTCTTCACTTTGAGACCTGGGGTCCAAGAAGGAGCAGCAGTGGGAGCTGTGACAGCTGGTAGGTCACTGTGGCAGGGCAGGAGCTGGTGTTAGAGATCCTGGCCCGCAGTACCAAGGGCCCTTTCTGCAGGGAGGGAACTGTCTGCTCTGGAAGACCTGGGCACAAGGCAGGTCACCAAACTCAAGACCTAGCACGGGTATGCAGCAGTATTCTGTGTTCAGACCTGTGGAAAGAGGAGAGCACAGAATCTTGGGACTTAGGAGCTACAAACAGGTCAGGATTGGACCAGACAAATAAATTCCCTTGTGGGGTGGGCCATCCTTTGAACAATGTGGGGATAGGCCTTGGGGACACCAGGTTGCATTTCACCTATATGGTCAGCAGAGGCCCGTGGTGCGGAAAGAGTGGAAAGAACTACTGAAGAAAGTCCCCCCAATTCACCTATAACTGGTGTTACAAACTATAAATTCCCGTCCAAAGTATAACTCAAAACTCATGCTCAGGCATCAGTGAAGCAAGGGCAGAGCATCACTTATTTCATTCAACATGCTTTTGAGAACCTGCCATGCATTAGGCACCGAGTCTGTACCATAATTCTTTCTGCCCTCATTTCCTGGCTGGCTGACACTCTGGGTTTATCTTCTAGAAATACAGCACACAGCACCACCAGCTCTGCTCAAGTGTCACTCCTCAGAGAGTCCTCCCTGACCTGCCAGTCTGAAGAGGCCATACATGTACCCATCCTCCCCTGGTACCTAACCCTGTTTCATTTCCTTCATAGTACTAATCACTACTGGGAATTTTAATGTGTATCTGTTTGTTAGAGTACTTGCATGGTGTCGGTTTCTCTAGACTGTACCTCTGTGGGAGCAGCGACTTTGCCCTGCTCACCACTACATACAGGTACTCAGTAAGTCTTCAGTTAATATTTCTTAAAAGAATAAGCTTTTAGGTACCCTAGAAAAGTCTCTTTAAATCAAAGTCTAGCCTCTATTTATGAAATCAAAATCCTGGAAACACCCTAAATTGTCTATCAGTAGAAAGATGGGTAAGTAAACAATGATCAGGAATATTGTGTTCTTTTTATAAATTATAATTTTGTGAAGTTTATAATAACATAGAGATACTTATGCTAAATGAAAATTGGATATACAGTGTTATCGTGTGATCACAACTATTTAAATCAGGATTTCTCAACCTCAGTACAACTAACATTTTGGGCCAGATAATTCTTTCTTGTGGGGGGCTGCCTTGTGCATTATAGGATGTTTAGTAGTATCCTGGCCTCTACCTGGTGATACCAGTAGAACCCCCTCCTCACAGTTATGGCAATCAAAACTGTCTCCAGGCTGTGCACGGTGGCTCACGCCTGTAATCCTAGCACTCTGGGAGGCCGAGGTGGGAGGATTGCTCCCAAGGTCAGGAGTTTGAAACCAGCCTGAGCAAGAGTGAGACACCATCTCTACTAAAAATAGAAAGAAATTAGTTATCCAACTAAAAATATATAGAAAAAAATTAGCCAGGCATGATGGCGCATGCCTGTAGTCCCAGCTACTCAGGAGGCTGAGGCAGTAGGATCGCTTGAGCCCAGGAGTTTGAGGTTGCTGTGAGTGAGGCTGACGCCACAGCACTCTAGCCAGGGCAACAGAGTGAGACTCTGTCTCAAAAAAAAAAAAAACTGTTTCCAGACACTGCCAAATATCTTCCAGGGGAGGATGGGGAATAACCCCCAGTTGAGAATCGCCAGCCTATATATTGTAAAATTATAATGACCAAAAATAAAAAAAAAATGGAAACAGTTAATGCCCAATGATAGAAGAATTGCTGAATAAATTATACAGCCTTCATGTAATATTATGCAAATAAATAAACTAACCTGAAAAATTGTATGCAGAAGGAAAATACTAGAATAAATCCATGAAAATGTTGGCAAGATTGCCTTTTGGATGTTGCCAGAAGCCCTTGTTCAGAACATGCCTTTTCATCAGCATTTCCCAAAATGTTTCAACAGATGGAAAAGAAGAAGCAAGAGAACAAAATGAGAAGAGACCATTTGAATGACCAGTACTTGGAACTGTTAGAAAAACAGAGGCTATACTTTAAGACTGTGAAAGAGTTTAAGGAGGTAAGAGGAAGGTTGGGCAGGGCATGTTAAGGCTAAAGTGAGATTTACATTCTCCTAAAGAAGAGCCTTTAAAAACTAGACCAATTTCGTGGTTTTCCCCTGGTCTGTGGAGAGAAATAGCAAAATGGCATTGTGATCTGATGAAAGTATGGTATCTGGGTAGTAGAAGATCGCATTTTTATGTGGCCCATATTGAGGCTCTAATTAAATGTTTTAAGAGACATGACATCATTTTCAATTTCCTAACACACAGTAAGTGCATTAAATTCACTAATAAAATGGCACTATCAGCTTACATAGTTTTTGTTATGGATTCAGATGTAGAATCTCCCCTCCTGCCAATCTTAGGATGGGAGGGACTTTGAGAAACCCTGTGAAAAAAGAGAGAGAACTTTGAAGAGGGACAGGCTTGGGTTCGAATCCTACCACCACTTACTGGCTATGTTCTTTGGACAGTGACCTAATCCCTCCCAGCCTAAGTTTCCTCATTGGTGGGCTCTTCATGTCAGATGAGAAATACTACACATCTACCAACAGGTCTGGCACCTACTAACATCCAGCACTTAGCTGAATTTTATTTGTCCCTGCATTTCCTCCCTGCATTAGGGCAGGGTTACTCTTCATTGTTCTCTGCCTTTTTCTTAAGAGATTTTCGAAAAAGAAAACTTTATTTTGCGACTTGCCATGGTCTCAGCAGCTTTATTTTCAGGGATTCCTTCCTAACCTAAATATATGTTATTTTGCTGAGTTTAGAGGCTGCTGAAAATACAGAGAAGTTAACGGTAGGTTGTTGGATACTAGAGTTTGGTCTACAGAATAAGAAATGTAATTTTCCATGCCCATGATTTTGTCCTTATTTATTTTCTAAGACTTTTCTCCCTTCCTCATCCTTCCTCTCTCCTCTACTTTTCCTTTCATTTTTTGTGATTTAACTCTTGGGTGTCACAATCCATGAGAATTTCAGAAACTCATCCTTTCCAGTGTTCTACCTGCACCTGCTGTGGCCCTAGACAGATAACCAGGTTGTAAAACAGACCTGGTCCCTCTCCTCAAGGAGCGTACATTGTGGTGGGGGAGACAGATGACAAGCTAAGAACAAGTCATAATACTTCCAAACTGTGCCATGTGAGGGGACTAATTTAGGTGGCGCAGTCAGGGAAGGCCTCTCTAGGGTGAGCAGGACTTAGCAACGGGACAGCAAGATTACTTCATTCAGGGCAGCATGTGGGATGGCCTTGTGGCTGGGCAGCACAGGGGAGGGACCAGGCCAAGTGCTCCAGTCTGGGAACTCTTGTGGCTAGCAGAGGTCGGAGTTCCGGAAGGCCAGTGAGTGAGCTGGCAGGAAACAAATAGGAACCCGCTGCTCCCCTCGGAGCTCACTCTTTCCTTTAATCCAAATAACTCACGAAGATTAAAGGCCCAGAAGAGAATTACATTTCACATGTTTCTTGGATGTGCCAGCACTCCCTTTTGACTATATAGAAACAAAAAGCAAATAGTTGAGGAAGATTAAGTGTCAACTGTCAAAATCAAAGCAAATAAAAACTAAATGGAAAAAGCTCATTCTTGCACTGCAGGCTCTCAGGTGAGGGCTTAGGATGAATTCAAAGGTAACAGCTCCTTCAGATGTAGTAAGCCTGGAGAGTCCCACATTCCCACCTGTGCGGCCCAGTTACTCGCAGAGACCGAGGTGCTTCCTTCAGAGCTGGCTAGGACCCCCAGACAGATGCTTGCCCATGCCTAAGTTTTTCCAGCCCAAAGCAGGTTAAAGAAAGATGGGGGTGGGGGTAATGCAATATGTTCTTACATATTTCATTTAAATGTATTTTACCTTAAAAAAAACTAGCATGCCCCTCCCATTCTTTGATGTTAAAATTGCCTTTGTCTTATAATGGTGCTGGTGGGTAGTCCTTTCTTTTTTAAACATTTTACTTGGCAAAAATTTTAAATTGGCAGCCACATGTCAGTGTTCCAAAATCTAAAACTTTCTCCCACCAGCTCCTCTGAGGTACTTTGGGGCAACCACAGGTATTGAGGAGGAGGAGACGGTGGGGGCTTGCTCCTCCGCAGTCTCCATCCCATGCCTTCAGCCACACTAATTCTGCTGGTTTTTCTGTTTTACATATTACAGTTTCAGGTAAGATCTTATTTGTGGCAGAAAAACAGAAAAGCTGTACTTTCATCCCATCCTTCTCCCAGAATCCTCTCTGTTCTGCCTTCTTTGCTGGAATCCCCCTTAAGCTTACCTTGTTGGGCTTATACTCCTATATTCTGAATTCTCATTGCATTGTGATGCCTAGCACATGCACTGGGCAGTGATTATTTATTCTTTATGCAAAGCACAATGTTTTCTTTTTCCTTCCTTCCTTCCTTCCTTCCTTCCTCTTCTTCCTCTCCTTCCTCCTTGCCTCCCTCTCCTCCCTCCTCCCTCCCTCCCTCCCTCCCTCCCTTCCTTCCTTTGTCTCACTGTGTTGTTCAGGCTGGTCTCAGACTCCTGGCCTCAGGTGATCCTCCTGCCTCAGCCTCCCAAAGTGCTAGGATTATAGGTGTGAGCCACCATGCCCAGCGAAAGCATAATGTTGTATAGAACATGGTCTTATGCCCCCTTAATAGTTTCCGTTAGTGGGCTTGGTTTACCCCACATTAACTGGGCACTAAATTATGCTGTCATCCTGACTCCCAGCCTCCTCTGATATTAATACCTTTTGATTAGAGGCATTGGGTTTTCTCTAAAACCCTAATGACTTGCTCACTCTAGTAGAGTTTAATTACAAGTTTGCCAGGAAACAACACACTCTGAAATCACCTTAATCACAGTAATTGGGCTCTAAACCACAGTTTCTTACAAGGTCATGAAACTAAGATTTAAATTCTAACATAGCACTGATGAATGCAAATCCTATATTTTTATGAAGCTGGCTTTGGGCACATAAGTTTGAGCAAACTGACCTCACTGGTTTGGTACATGGTAGGCCTGGATGTAGTCTAAAAAGGAAAGAGACAGAGGCAATGAAACATTTTACCTTTTTTTCTAGAAAGAAATACCTGAAGGGCTCCTTTTGTATTTGCTTTGAAGAGACAGTATCATTCTGTAGTTTCCCAGAAGGCTTCTAGTAGATTGTATGAAATTTAACCAGTGCTCACCAGGTGACAATATAGGATATCTTTACTGAAAGATTTAAACATCATTTCAGTGTGTGTGATACATGAAATTACCCATGGTGGGGACTCTTTATGGCAGGAGTGTTTTGATGCTCCTGAGTTGTTTTTGCCCCATTTAAAAGGTGAGTAGGGTGACAGTTAAACTAATTTATATATTTTACATTTGTATTACAGAAGTCTTCAAAATATACAAAAGTAGAGAGTAGTATAATAATATGATAGTGTAACCATCTGCCTGTTCTTATTCCATCTTTTTCTCTCTCCACTTTTTCTTTAAGCTAGAGATTTTTTTACCCCAAGCAAATCTTAGTAATTCATTTTAAAAAGGAAAACTTTCTTCTTTTCTAATAGAACAAATATAACCAAACATCACCTTATTTCTTTTCCCACCCCTCCCCAAAAAATCAACTGCCTCCCCCTTCAAAAAAATTGTGCTCAAAAAGTGTCAGAGCACCTTGCTTCTGACAGTCTTACAGAAGAATTCATCCTTACCCTCAGCCCAAGCACCCTGCTATTTCCAGCTCTCCAAGTGGAAGATAAATTTAAACCCTACAGATGAACCAGCACTCACTAAGACCAAGATCATTGTGGTCATGCTGCCACAGCGCTGCCAAAAAGAGCAGAGGGCTTCCAGAGATTTGGGAGCATCCCCAGCCCAGGGATGTGGAAAAATTGACTTTGGGGGTCTTGGATGCAAAGAGTTCAGGGCAAAAAAAGTTTTTCTCCCACAATGAATGTGTCTCCAGGAAAGCACAGCCACTGCAGGCCTGAACACTGCCAAGCCTGGGCCCTGTGAGCTTTACCTCGATGGCCCTTCCCATTACCACTCTAACCTCCTAGTTTAAAAGTAGGGCTCCTCGTGACCAGCTCAGGGAAGGGGATTGGGGATTGTTGGAGGTCTGCTGGCAGATAGAGGGGTCCTGAGCTATCAAGACCAGTAGGAACAAGGGCAGAAGGGTGCACAGTGAGCCACTTTTGAAGATGACCAAAGAATGGAACACAAAATATTTTAGTGGTGACTTGCACACTGGACATTAGATTCCATAGACAAGGGATCGTGCCAGTCACCTCCCTCAGTGATATCCCTCAGCACATGCAGCCCTTGCATTCATACAACTCGTTTTTAAGGAAAGAGAGGTGTCCCCTGATGAATATCTCTCATTCTCTTTTCTGTGATTTCTTTTCTTAAAGCTAAGACTATTCCTAGCCTTCACTGCTGGTAGAACTTCTCTCTGTGTTTGCCTGCTGTATAAACTAGGGTTGCCCTTTATGACTCCTTAGGCTTGCTGTCTCCAAGCCCCTCCCCCCGTTCCTCAGCATAGTAGGCCACGACTGGCAGATGAGGGTGCTTTCTACTTCGGTGCCCTTGAAGATTTTTAGAGACTTCATGAAGTCCTTTGGAATTTGGAATTACAATATCTAATCCTTTCATCCTATTCTTAGCTGACAACCCAGAAACAACATCATTATAGCTGTTTTGGCTTTAAAGATCAATAGGCCACCAGGAAGTTTCACTATGCTGGTGGCAGTGTGCTAGGAGACTGGTTTAGTTGTCTGAAAGTGTCTCCCATGGGCCTTGGGGGAAGGGTGGGCCTCACCTGGGTGCTAATGTAGTCACCACCTCTCTGTACACTCACTCTCTCTGCTTCCCCTCCAGGAGGGCCGCAAGAACGAGGTGCTGTTGTCCAAGGTGAAAGCCAAGGCCTCCTGAACATCCGCAGCCATCATTGTATGTCTTCGATTTTTGTTTTTTAAATACCATATATCTACTACAAGATCATGAAATGGTTCTGAAAGCGACAGTAGAGAGATGCAGGTGTAATGATTTCAACGCCCTGGATGTTTTCTTTCTCTTTGCTTCCATTTCATCTCTGTGTTGGCTGCTGTTGATGGAATCAGACAGTGTAAACACTGGCTTGGATAACACCCATCATCTCTGAAGAAACATGGGCAGAACTTGTTCTCTGTGTTGATTCAACTCTCATTTCTCCAGTAACATTGCACTTAGGAGGTACCTGTACTTGTATGGACGCTGAATAAAGAAAAATGCATTTGTTTAGCAAGTATTAACTGAGCAGCCACTGAGAAGTGAGCACCAAGGGAGAGCCAGAGAAGTAAAAAACAGTTCCTACCCCTCAGGCATCCAGCAGGTGGCCGGGGAAGCAGATGTGGCTACCAGATCCCAGAGCTTGGCCGTCTGAGACTTTTTTCAGTGAACAGAAGGCTTTTAGCTGCATGATCAGCCCATGTGAGTGTCAGTCCCTTGGGCCCTTCACCTGCTTGTGCTGCCTTTTGTTCCTGGCTCTTCCAGGTGCCGGCCAGCAGGCTTGGATGGCATAGCAACTAGAATGAAAGCTCGGTGTTGTTGGCTTAATCCTAATACGTCACTCAAGTTTATTTCCCCAAAAATAAATTGAAAATAGGATGCTTTGAGGATGCTTCAATAAAAATTACACCTTCCCTTACCCCAATTGTCATTCAAGTCACAGGCAACACGTGGATGGACCTGTGCACCCCCCTCATTGAAGGCACATCCCGTATGCCTGCGCTGTAGACAGGCCGTGGTCTGACAAGGAGAGAGATGCACACTATCCACTGCACTCAGGGCAGCAGAGTGAAGACAATAAGCGGGCCCCACAGGGGGTCAGGAGGAAGAGGAGTGGGGTTTTCAGAGATCCAGGGAGGCTTCATGGAGGAGGCAGCATTTGTGTTAAATCTGAAGGGGGAATAGGACGTTAATGAGCAGAGATAGGAAGCAAGGCCATTTTAGATGAAGATCATTTTAGATGATCACTATAATTAAAAACTCAAGAGGGTGTGGGGGATACAGAGCACTCATTCTGGGAGAGGAAGGGACAAGCTGGTCTCTGCACGAGACTCTGGAGAACAGTCTGGAAAGATGGGCTGGGGCCAGACTTTGGAGGGTCTTGAAGGGTAGCTGAGGGGTTAACTTTATCCTTGGAAGTGAGTGGTGTAAAACAGAGGTCTTCCTGTGCTGGCCCTCAGGAGTCCCACTCAGTCATGTGTGGTAAACACCAGCAGGAGGCTTGCGCTTCATTCTACATAAACCTCACACGCATACCAGTGAGCAGGTTTGGACATAAAACATAAAAGCCTAAATGTGTCAGGCAAATGAGACATTCAGCACAGGCACAGAAATATTGTGTTCATTTTTAGTTCCCTTATGCATAGCTAATGTGTACAGATTTAAAGATAATAATAATAGATTAATGACGGCCACTGGTTTCTGTGTGAGGGCCAGCGAGGCCTGCATGAGCCAGGTGGAAGCAGCAGTGTCCAAAGTGGCACTGCCATGTGCCGGAGCTTCCCGGGCTATGTGCAGCTCCACCTTGGCTGGTCCCTGGGCCAGGGTCATGTGAGGGTTTTGAAAGGGCTCAGCAAAGTTGAAGCAAGTAATTGTAAAAGAACAGCTAGCGCTTTGAGACCAGGGGAAGGAGGCAGCAGTTTGATTGAAATGATTTCAAGTCCAGAGGCTTGTCTCCTTTGCCTTGATACATGCTCATAGCGCCACCCCTGGCTGACTGAACTTTGTGAGCAGTTAGACTATTTGACTGTCCACGGGTGGTAGGGAGGCAGGAGCAGGTGGCATTCTGAGGTTACCAGAGTCCACCTCTCTGCGTTGTTGAAGAAAGTATGGCATGACTAATCCACACCAACCAATAATTCTGTTTGAAAGTAGAGACATACATTTTGGGCTGTGTTTCTCAAGGGTTTCATCTGGTTTGCTTTTGGTGTAGAGGTGCCTGTAGATATCTTTTCCCTTTTCTTAATCCGCAAGGCCTAATACAAATATAAAATCAATGTTTTTGTTGCATGAACACATTTTGAATTAGACTGCAGAAGCCAGTTTTAGGAATTCCACATTTTCTGCAGACAACCTGCAGCATGAATGGTGCCTTGTATGTAATTAGGACATTATGTGGGTTTTACAGTCAGGCTTCACGGGAGATACCCCGAGTCCCCTGATGCTTTTTTAAAACATTTGCTTCAAGAGGAACCAGGTTTCCCCAGGAAGCAGAGAGTTCTCCCAGCTCAGTTAGCCCAGAGAACTTGCTAGCAGCCAGGCTGCCACAGCTGGCTGCCTGGTGCCCTGGATTCTCAGCCAGCCTCTGGGTTGGGGGCTACCCTCTTACCCGCATGCTTCCCAAGAGTACATGGGGCTGCCCTGCTTTAAACCAGAATCAGAGCTGCTGTGAGCAAGTAAAGACGAGATGATCATGAGATACCTGGGGAGACAAGGACATTTTTTTGTAGTCTCCTTGGCCTGTGGTCAGTCTCTCCTGGATAACTAACTGGTGTCTGGCGATACTGCTAGAGAGAGGTGCAGAGTGTTAGAAAACATTTGCCAGAGTCACACACATGAGCTTGTGTTTTAACAGAGGGCAGATTCCAAGTTTGTTAGGCATAGCTCTTGTCAGAGTCTAAAGTTCATAGTTGTATCTGGGTTCTGGTATGTGGCTCATACTTTGAGGATAGCCAGGTCCTGCCACAGCGTCTACTGAGCCTGGCAGCACAACCAGAAGGCAGAAGGGCAGGTACAGGTCGGAGGTCTCTCCCTTGCCTGACAACACTGTAGCCCTTGGGACCTCTGGAAACCTGAGCAGAGGGTGGGAAAGGCCTTCAGGCAGCCCTCTTACTACCTCACAAAGTGCCATTCCCGTGACCTTGGGGTTGTGACACTGACAGGCCCTGGTCATTGTCTGTAGTGACCAAAGCAGCACAGTTTGGACAGTGAGCAGTGGCCATAACTTGTGCCCTCCGCATGTCTGATGCTTTGGATGGTCTTACCTGGTCCACTCTGCAGGGAACTGAAGATCAGTTTGAGGGAACTCACCGTTCTAGCAGTCAGTGTTAACAGTGACTTTGGCTGAACCGAGTCCCCTGTTTTGAAATGCAGGTAGTTTACTTGAAGCATGCTTTGAGGAAGAACACTCTAAGGAGGTGCTTTATGATTTACTCATGGCCAATACTGGCTTCAAGGTAAAAGAACATCTTAATACAGACTAGTACAGGGAAGAGCCCAGTAGGATGGGGTGCCGTTATCTGTCCATTATCTGGCTGGGCATTGCCAGGGGAAGTGCCTTGTTTGATCCCCCATGCCTTCTCTTGGTCCTTGTCACCGCACATGGCAATGGGCTGAAAATGCTCTGTAAAAAATGATGCTACAACAGTCTCTCCTCTTCTCACAATAAATATATTGTATAAAAATATCAGGGGGGTTAGTACCTGGTCTGCAGCATACTTAACACGGGGAACGCTGTGGGTGCTCCACGCCAGCCTTACGTCAGTTCCCCAGACATACCAAGCTCACATCTGCCTGTGGCCATGGCCCTGCTGTCCCCTCTGCCTAGACTGCTGTCCCCTCCAAGGTCTTAGGCAGTGGCTTCCCCTGACCACCTAAGACACATGCAAACCCATTTAACTCGGCCCCAGCCCTGATCACACTGTGCCCTCCCCTGCAGTTTGTGTTGATGGCACATGTCACTGTGCAGATCTCTCCGTTGCCTGCCCTCCCTTCTGGAATGGAAGAGCAACAAAAGCGGGGGCCTTGCTTGTCTCCCCACATCTAGCTCAAGGTAGATGATCAGGAAATTCTGGTGAGATAAAATGGCTTCTCCGAATTCCAACTTTGCATCCCTATGTTAGCATAATTTAGATTTAACCCTTCCTCTAATTTATGCTTAGTTTAAGAACAGGTAGACGGTTCTATTTATTGACTTTAGAGGATCTCTCGTAGAGTGTTTGTTATACTCTGACCTTAAAGGATGGGATGAAAAAAGCTGTCAGAGGTTTCAAACCTTTCAAAGGAATTACCTTTTACAAATTTTCTTTCTCCCCATGAAGTGGGGAGCAAACAGAAAAGGGACCACAAAAATGTCAGAGATAAGGTATGTTTTGGCTCAAAATGTGTCATGAATCTAAAAGTAACTTGGCTGGTAGAAATGTCTCAGTCACATGAAACCAAGAAGTGGGACAGCACTGCAAGGCTGTGGGAGTAGCCCTCGCATATGGTGTTGGCAAAGTGTGAATTGTACAAGTTCCATGGAGGACAGTTGTACAGTGTCTATCCAAAGTGCAAAGGCATAAACGTTTTGAACCAGCAATGCTACTTCTAAGAATTTTTCCTGTGTTCAAGAATTTTTATTGAAACATTGTAATAGCAAAAGTTGGAAAGTACCACCAATATGGGGAAATGGTTAAATAGGTTAGGGCCAGTCCATACAATGGAATATTTTGCAGAAATTTAAAAGAAAGGAGTGTGTACTGCCATGGAGTGATCCCCAAGATACATGGTTAAGTGGGGGAAAGAGGCTCGTGGTATACTAATGCTTGGGATAGAGGAAAGTGTGTGTCTGTAGATGTGTATGTACATTTACACACATGTCTATCACATATGTCTGCTTGCATAAGCCTAGAATATCTCTGGAGGATACCCAGCAACCTGGCAGCCTTGGTTGCCTCTGGGAAGAGGGATGGGAATTACTTTTCAATGTACACCTTTTGTACCTTTTGAATTTTATACCATGTACATGTGTTATCTATTCAAAAATAAATAGTTTTTAAAATTTTAATTTGGTTTACTTTTCTTAAAAAAAAAATAGAACCAAATTGTCAAGAAGATTCTGGTTCAGTAAATCTGCTTTCACAAGGAAGATAGAGCCCTTGAGTCAAAATAAACTCTCGCTCTTTGGGGTCTTGGGACACTGGGCCATGTGAAAGGGGCTGTCCTCTTCTGGTGGAACAGCTGTGGGGCAACAGAGCACTGAGGCTGGTTCTGCCCCTGCTGTGTTAGGCTGGTGGGACAGGGACAGGGGAATGGACTGTGAAGTGGCCACGCCCTCAGACAGACTAGGGCTGCCTCCCTCTTGTGAGAATCACACTGCAATCTGGTGCCTCTGACTTCAGGGGAACATACAAAAGAAGAGGATGATACCTTTGAGCCATGGTCCAAGGGGAGCTGTTAACCTTGTCCTAAAGCCATGCCCTTCTGTGGAAACCTGCTGTGGGGGGTCCTTCCCCACTACACAACTTTGATTTTGTCCATGTGTCCAGCCCCAGGAGAAGAATCATCACAGCTGTGCTAACAGTCATGGAAATCTTATTTCTGTTTGCTAAGAGTTGGTCTACAGATCTAACTCAGTTGTGGCCAGGAGGAGGAAGACTGCTAAGTGGTCCAGGAAAGACTTTTCTGCTGGTCGTTAGTGAGAGAGGCATTAGGACAGCTTCTACCTCCCTTTCCTGTTTTTGTAGGTTGTCAAGGAACTTCAAGGTTTGAGCAACTTCTGCCATCTTGAGACCATGAGAGGAGACATCTCAATACATTGAGTTTGGCAGAGGGAAAAGGCCTGGCCTGGCTCCCTGACGGCATGATGAGCTTCTGGACCAAGCTGGGGACCACTTGCCTCATTTTCTTGTTCCAGAAGAAAAATAAATCCCTGTTAACTTGTGCATTCAACCCAACAATATTTGAGTTTCTACTATGTGTCAGGACCCGGGAATATAGCAGTGAACAAACAGACAAAAGAACCTGCCTTCCTAGAGTTACTCTTCAGTGGGGAAAACATGCAAATAAGATATATACGTAAATTTTATCATAAGTTGTTTCAATTTGCTGCTTAAAGCAAGGAAGAAGTATCAGCAGTGTCTGGTTTAGTGGTGGTTGCTATTTTATATTGCAAAATCAGGTAGGGCCTCACTCACTGACTAGTGAGGACTGAGTCACATAGACAGTTATGTAAATAAAATTCCAGGCAGGGGGAAGAGCAAGTGTAAAGGCCCTGAGGTCAGAGTGTACCCAGAAGCTGAGTTTGCAGAACGTTTAGGGGGTGCTGTGTGGGGAGCCTTTGAAGGATTTTGAGAAGAAAAACTACCTGATCTGATTTCCGCTTAATAGGGATCCCTCTGGAGGCTGTGCTGACCACAGACTGCAGGGAGGCCAGTTAAGAAACCACTGTAAATAATCCAGATGAAAATAAAACTGACACAAAAGTATTCCAGGACAATACCTACCCTGATTTTTTCTTCTTGTTCTACTTAACTGTTTAAAACGCTGAGCACTGAATCATTGGTTTCCATTCTTCATTCACCTGTAGCAGACACCTTTGTCATGACCAGTGGAATGTACTTACCCACCCCCTGACTTTGGGCTTTTGCTTGTCCTACAGGTTGTTAGCAGATTTGACACGTTTTGAAAAATGTGTTTGTGTGGTTGCGTTTCCACTCTTGCCCATCTCTCTTGAGAAGAACATAACTCTGCTCAGGTATGGTGCGGACCTAGACCCAGCCTGCAGCTTGAAGCCAAGCCCAGCCTAAGCCAGTGAAATCCCAGTCAATTCACAGCCATATGAGCAAGAAATAAAGGTTTGTTGCAATATACCACTGAAACTTTGTAGTGATTGCTTGCGATTATTGCTAGCATAGCTGACTGACACAACCACTGAGTTGATTTTATGATAGATTGTGAGCTGGAGTTTAAAGGACACATCTCTACACCACCCAGCATTGGCGTGAAGGGGCCAGAAGAGCAGGCTTTGGTGGATGGACCCACATGTGTTCACAGAGCACAGCAATCATGATAAGAATCCAAATTTCCTTTGTACATGCCAAAAGAAACATGGAGACCATGTTAAAGGGGAAGAAAGTAGCACACTTTGTATGTTATGCATGGTCAATTTTATAAAATAAAACCTATTAGGTTATCCACGTCCATCCTATAGGCCTGGAATTCTGTGGAATTGGAGTCTGACCCTGAGACACCTTAGTGACACCTTAGTAAATAAATCAGAGACAATGTGAATTCCTCTTACAGCTTCCCAACTCCATCTTAGTCATGTTCTACAGCAAAGGGATAGGAAGCAGAACAGAGACACTATGCTTAGCAAGGATGTTCCTGGAATGTTAATTGCAGATCACATTTTTTTGTATACTCTGAATCAGTATACTCTGATCAGACTTCTATTTCATATACTCTGAATTAAAAGCAATCTCAAGTTCATCCTTGCATAAAGTCAATCCAGAGATCTGTTTCAGAAATCAACCATTTTATAATTATAGTGAGAAGTCAAGGAAGGCCTTATTAACTGAAGAGAAGGTTCAAGTCTGAAAAATCTAGGCTGTGAGTAAAAAAAAAAAAAAAAAAAAAAAAGGAAAGGAAAAGGAGGACTCTAAACATAGCTATTGCTTGGGATGCTTCCATAACTGCACTACATTAAGTCAAAGCCCAGGCCAAATAAATACAATGATAAAAGCATCCTATCCAATAATAAGAGTAAACCAAAAAATCGCACAGGTGTCCACCCAATCATAGCTAGACCTTCTTCTTCCAAGCTTTCTTCCTGGAATCCAACTAGAATAATGCAAAAGGATCTACTATCAGGTGCAGCCTGCAAAGGCACACACAGGTTTCGTACTGTAAAACACAAACTAGAGTTGAAACAGAGTCGAGTCAGATTTCTGTTGGGTTCCCTTCATCTTTCTCATGTTTGGATATAGGCAGACTTGAGTCCAGATGCCTCACTGCTATGTACTCACTATGTAACTGTGGGCAAGCTGCTTACCCTCTTGGAACATAGTTAAATGAGGACTATACTTACCTTATAGGATAGATGTAGGAGTAAAAGATCATTTGTCTATAAAACCTAGTCCAACAGCTGCAAGTGGTGGATGCTCAAGAAATATTACTCTTAAAATGTATTCCTGCATGTGTGTTTCATGAAGGGAGAGGCAGGGGAGATAATTAACACCCCCTATTGTCTTTCAGCCAAGAAGGGAAAAACTCCAGCAGACCCAAGCTTGAGTACTAGGCCTTGAAAGACAACAATGATGGAAGACTGAGAACACCATTTCATTCGAACTGTGTAATTATCTGCTTTTTACTTCCCTGCCTTAATTTACAGAATTTAAGGTGGCTTGTAGGAAATAAGCAAAATTAGATAGTAAAATATAAATATTATAGAACTTGAAGCACTAGAATAGGAAATACCTAGAAACATTATACACAAGTAAGTAGGCTACCAGATCCTACATAAATTCCAAAGTTAAGCCAGAAATTTGGTTTTATGATTCTTCCTGATCAAAATGAAAATGGAAACCGTCAATAATTCTCATTATCACGAAAAGAAAACATGCTTTCACAAAGTTTATAGGATGACTTTAACTGCATCCTCCTATGAAATGCATTGATGGGTTTCATAAGATTGTTTCTTGTATTATTATCTTCCAGTGAAAAAGAACAAAATTTCGAAACACAACTCCAAGAAGGCTGTTCAATTACCTTTATGATGTCCCAACATCCAACAGTTTGATTGGACCACATATTCTTCCCAGAATCCCTCTTCTTAACAGGGCTGAGACCTATGAAAACTGAGACTGTGGATGGTTTGAAGTTACACTCGTCCATAATCCCTTATCCACAATTGCAAAAATACAAAAAGTTCAGAAAACAAAGGTTTTTAACTCATTTGACAACAAAATTGATATGACCCAAATGACCTGCAATGATGTAAGGCTATTTTTAGTTCTTTTCTCACAATGTGAATATGCATACATTTTACTGCAAAAACATTCAGGTGTTGATGTTGCATGCAGGCTGCTGCTCCAGACCCAGACTCAGCCAAGGGTATTCCCTAATTTATAGATTATACCATATTGCCTTTCTAAAACCTGAAAAAGGGTCTGGACTCTGAAACTCATCCAGTCCCACCTTTTGGAAACGGCACTGTGGATCTATAGTTCTGTTATGAACCCCATAGCATAAGCATTTTGTGGTGTAAGTGTGAAGAATGTCTATATAACTTAGACATCAAATGAGCCAAGGGTGAAGTAGACTTTTTTGTGCAAATTAAAGTGCCTAAAATAGGCAGCAACCCACCTCCAAAATCAGGTATATATCACCAAGGTAGATATGAATTCCTATACACCTGTGTCACATTTAATGTTTTTTGGAAGACCAAGAACAACTATAGCAGTTGAGGGGGGAGGGGGTTGTTGGTGTTTTAAGTCCTATAACAGGCATCAATTTTCCCATCTCAATGTCATATACACGTGCCTGCACCACAAATAAGAATGATTCTAAGCCTGGAAATGAATACCTCAAAAGTATTTTTATTATACATAATAAAGTCAATATGGTGATGTAATGAGAAAAACGTCTCTCACAGCTGCTCTCTCAAGTGGTAAAAAAAAAAAAAAAAAAAAAAGCAGAGAAAAAACTTCACGGGGGTTCTCAACGCTGGTTACATACTGGAATCACCTGGCAAATTTTAGGACGCACTGCCGCCTGGGTTGCAGGGATGCCAGTTAATTTGGTCTAAAGAGCAACCTAAGTATCCAGAAGCATCTCTCACTGATTTAAAAAAAAATCATCTAGGGAACTTAATACACAGATTATCAGACCTCATCTTTGAGAGTTTGATTCAGTGGCTATGGGTTGCACCGAACACTTTTTTTTAACAGAACTTCAGGTGATTCTCACCTCACAAGTTGGGATACACTGCCACCATGAGGAAGTGTAAAAGGCCGGGGAAGACAGGAGTTGGTGGATAAAGGGTGTGGGGAGGGCTCTTCCACAAAA